GCAGCGACGATGACCAGAGGGGGCCAAGAGGCCACAGAGGGAACACACAAATCGCCATATCGAGCCCACGTATGCTCCTCAGACGCCCCCGAGACCTTTCTGACGAGACCTCAAGGGGCATCCATTCGAACTCTGACCCTTTGCCAAAACACAATGGCGGGAAGAGCCGAAGGCCACACCACCACCACCACCGCCACCACCACCGCCACCATAGACCACCATACCACCACCACCACCGCCACCACCACAATCACCACCACAACCACCACAACCCACCATCATCAGAACCACCACCATCACCACAAACCACCTCACCACCACCACCACCAAAAACGCCACCAAAACCAGTATAACCACAACCAACCACAACCACCACCACCACCACAAACCACCACACCATTACCACCAACATCACCACCACCACAACCCACCACCAACACCACCACCACAAACCACCACACCACCACCACAACCACCACCACCACCGCCACTACCACCCCCCACCAACCACCCACCACCACCAGCACCACTAGCAGCAGCAGCACCACAACCACCAACACCACCAACACCACCACCACCACCACCACCACAAACCATCACGCCACCACCACCACCGCCACCACCACGACCACCACCATCACCACCTTAACCCACCACCACCACCAAACCACCACACAACCACCACCACCACAGCCACCACCACCACCACCACAACAGCTCACCACCGCCACCACCAACACAACAACCCACCACCACTACCACCACCATCAACACAATCTACCACACCACCACCACCGCCACAACCACCACCACTACTACCAGCAGCACAACCCACCACCACCACCACAACCACCACAAACCACCTCACCACCACCACCACCGCCACTACCGCCACCACCAGCACCCCCGCCACCGCCGCCAGGCGCCGCCGACGCCGGCGCCGGCCCGAGGAGAGGGAGAGAGGAGAAGTAGGGGAAGGGGGGGGTCTGGTTCCACTCCCCCTCCAAACGACCACAGAACGCGCTCTTTCTTAAACATATATATATATATAATTATGCAAATATATTTACATATATATATATGCATGTGTGTATGTATGTATGCATGTATTTATGTTTGTGTGTGTATGTATGTAGACATACACACAAACATAAATCCATCCATACATACATACATACACGCGCGCGCGTTGGTTCGAGTCACAGTTCGGCCATCGCTCTTACTGTCGCTCGCTTCATGGGCGACACTGCGACTCCCTGTTTGCTCCTCTGTGGTCCTCCTCCTCCTCTTCTTCTGTGCCTCCCTCCTCCCCTGCTCCCGCTGTCCTCCTCATCACTCGCCGCCTCCCCCTCTGCTCTCTCTGTGCCCGTGATCCGGCATCTTGGATTTCTCGCAGGGGTCTCTCGACGGCCTCTTGGCGGCGTCGTGAAAGCCTTCTGTGGGACCTAGGGGGGGCCATGTGGTCCCTCGTGGAAGCCTCCTCACGTCCCCTTCCTCCTCCTATCTGCTCCTCCTCCTCTCGCCTCCTCCTCCTACTCCTCTTTCCTCTTCCTGCGCCACGATCTCCTCTCCTCTCTCCTCCTCCTCTGCGTCCTATGTCCTAAAAACGGTGAGTCTCATGAGACCCAACCACAGCCTACGACTACGCAGGGACTCTCCCAGGGACGGCCGGCGACCTTCAGCCCAGGACCAACACCCGGGGCTCCGCGGTTAAACTCGCTAACTGCAGACCAGGGCAAAACGGCAAGTTTTAAACCAGGTTTAAAAACAGACGCCGAATTAGGGAAGGGGAGCCCCCAATACTCGTTCGACTGGGGCTCCCTCCCCGCGCGGAGCCTGTCAAGGGCCTTCCTGGCCAGACGATTCGCTGGGTGACATTTGGAACGCAGCAAATGAGTCTGCCGCCGAGCGTAGGCCCCGCAGCGATTACAGAAAACAATGGCCTCCTGGCTCCCATCGGTCTGGACACCCCCCGACGACGACGAACCCCCCTGCAGGCCCCGACGACACCGAACGACCCAGAGCCGATGGGAACCGTGGGCCAAGGAAGCGGGCCTAGGGACCCCGACGCACGGGAAAGACACAACCTTGGCCCTGGTGGCCCTGCGGATCCCGCACTTGAGACATCCCCACGCGCGCCCAAGACGTTCAAGGGTGTGCCCATTGTGAGGCCTTTCAAGCTCCAGCTGAATCCCCTTTGGGGCCCCGCGGCGGCCTGGGAGACGACCCCTGTCGGGCCAATCCAGGCCCGCGAGAAACTTCAGCACGACACCGTGGTGGAGCAAAAGCTGTTCGGCCGCTACGTGGGCGGCGGCGAACCTGGCCTCACAGTCCCGGGGCCTAGCCTGCGGGTGGAGCCGCGCCCCCAGCTTGGCCAACCGATCGGCCTCCTTGTTGCCGATATGGCGGCTCCAACACGCGCCGAGCGACTCGGCCACCCTCCGCGGAGCATGAGCCTTCACCCACACGAGCGTGACCTGATCTCGCCCAGCATCATTGACCAGAAACCAGAGCTCCCGCCACAAGTCGGCGTACTTGCTCTGGTACGACGTGCAAGACCTCGCCACGATGGAAGTCGTCGACGACACCCTTGCAGTCGCTCACGATAGTCAGGTGACCGACCCCTTTCTCGCGCAGAACGTGGACCACCGCATGCAGCTCGGCGTGCCCGATCTCCTGGAAGTCGCCGGGGACGCAGCCGTGCATGCCGCCCAGGATGCGCCCGTCGCCCGTCATGGAGACCACTGACCAGCCAGCGCGCGCCAGCTGCGGGCACATTGGGCAGGTGACAGAGCCGTCCACACACACGGTGCCTGTCCACAGCGTCCGGAGACCGACCCCCGCCCGGAGGCAGATCGCGACGCGAGACGGCGGCGGCGCCTCGTCCAGCCTCAGGTCGACGAGCCCGCGCAGCATCCCGAGGTCGCTGGGAGAAGCGACCCTCCCCGCAGCTCGGCCAAGGCCCATGTCCCGCGCCAGCGTGCAGGTCGCGTCGCAACAGAAAAGCCTGTGGTGGGTGGCGCCCAACGCCGCGTGGCACCACTGACGTCGTGGGTCGAGCTCCGCCCTCTCTACGTGCAGGTCGAACTGCGACACGATGCCGCCCGTCACCGGCGCCTCGACCAAGTGCACCATCTCCAGGTCGCCTCTCCTGCGCAGCGCCTGCAGCCCCGCGCGCAGGGGCTCCAGCACTGGCGGCCGCTGCCGGAGCGCCTCGAACCCACGATGCCCCGACGCCCGCTTCAGCAGGGCCCGAGTCGTGCCCGCCTCGACCCGCGCGGCCGCAAACTTCGGGCTGTACCTCTTCAGGTCCAGCTGCCAGCCCTGATCGGTCGCCCACGTGTCCCACGCCGTGAATTGCCAACCTCCGCTCCAGCGTCAACTTCGCCGCCGCCGTCGGCCCCTTCACCTCGCCCCACGTCGACGCGGTCGCGGCGAGGTGCTTGGCCTTCAAGGCGGCAGCCTTTCTCGCTCCAGTGAAGACCGCCTTGGACCAGGCGACCAGCGGGAGGGAGGGCCGAGGCGGCGTAGAAGGGGTCCCGCCGCCAGCCGGTGCCCTTCTGCAGCGCGAACTGCAGCGTCCGTGACCGCCGCCCTGCCTCGCCGCCAATGGCGCGGGCGTTGGCGGTCCTCGCCTGCTCCAGCATCTTGGCGGGCACGCCGCGCGCGCGAGCGCCGCGCAGCACCGAGGCGAGGCCCCCCGAGCGGAAGACCTTCCCCAGCTTCGCGCCTGCCCTCCGCAGCGCCATGAACCTCGAAGCACGCTTGCCCAGCTTCTGGAGCCTGGCCCTGAGCACGCCCCAGCCAGCGCGCCTGCCCATGCCGAAGTCCACGCCCAAATTGCGGACTGCGCTGTGGAGCTGGAACTTCCACTTGGACAACTTCCGCGTTGCCCTCTGGCCCGCGCCCAAGTCGCTGCTCAGGATGTTGCCCTTTTTGAACGAGATCTTGAAACCGATCTGCTCGAGCTCCGTGCACAAGATGTCGGTGCCCCTGTAGATCGCCATCTCCGCGTCGCGGAGCTTGCCGTGCGCCGCCAGCGTGAGGTCGTCGACCACCACGAACATCTTGAGCAACGTCCACGCCTTTACCAGGGCGTCGAGCGGGCTCAGCAGGACCACCCGGAGCAGCGTTGTGGCGAAGCTGCAGCCCGCGATGATGGAGAGCCCCACCTGGAAGCAGTCAGACTTCCACCTGCCGACGCACAGCCGCCTCTTGCCGCCGCAGACCTTCAACGACAGCTTGAGCGTCCTGGGCGGGAAGCCGTGCCGCCTGCGCGCCGCCGCCAGCCCGCGGTGCGCGACCCGCTCGTAGGCCTTGCTCAAGTCCACCATGGACGACATGCTGTGGAGCCTCAGCGCCCCCGCGTGCTCCGCGTCGAAGGCCTGCTACCAGACCGCGTCCTCGCAGGAGCGCCCGACACCGCCGTAGAAGAAACTCCTGTTGTGCTGACTCTCCCACTCTCGCGCCTCCTCGAGCCTGAGGCGGCGAGTCGGACCAGTCCGCGCAGCAGGCCTATCGGGCGCCATCCGCCGTCGGCCTTGGCGAGGAAGAAGATGAACACCTCCTCCGCCTGCGACGGCACCCGCAGCAGGCACTCGATCCAGTGCAGGAGCAGACAAAGCGCCTCGAGGCCGCCCTCGTTGAGGTGCCCGAGCGACGACGGCTTTGGGCAGTCTATCCCCGTCGCCCTCGCCGCCTTGAACTCGGCCGCGGCCGCCGCGACGTCGCCAGGTGCCGGGGGGGGCGGGCTGGCCTCCAGCAGGTCAGGCGGCAGCGCCGCGTCGATGTCCAACGGGGGCTCGTGGCCGTGCTGCCACACCTGCTTGTGCTCGTCGAGCAAGGTGCTGAGCGTCGCCCCGATGCCAGCCGGCCCGCCTGCGCCGCCGTCGGTCCGCGCGTCCTCCACGTCGGGCGCCCATCCCAGCGGGGCGCGGCAGAAGCCGTGGGCGGCGCCCGCGCTGTCCTTGACAGCGCCCTGCGCCCAGCTGCGCCACTGCCTGCTGCGCTCCCTGCCGCGCTCCACCTCCAGCTTCTCGGCATGGCGCCGCGCGCGAGCCTGCGCGCGCACGACGTCCTCGCACGGCAGCCGGCCCAACCTGCGGAGGAGCCACCTCATGGACTTCACCTCTTTCTGTCCGAGCATGTCCGCGCCAAGGTCCTGGGCTGACAACTTGGCCACGCGCCCCTGGAGCTCGGCCGAGCGAACGCACAACCTTGCGCGACGGCCCCCGTGCCTGAGCTGTCGCCGGGCTTCGAGCATCTCCCAGACCACGATGCTGATCTTGCGCCATCTGGTGGCCACGGCCGAGCCCTTTGCGAAAGGCCCCCTGGTTGGGAGCCGCACCGCCTCCATGTCGAACCTCGGCGCCACGCCGCGCCCGACGTACTCGTGCGCGGCCTCCTCGAGATGATAGGCGCCGATCAGATCGAGCTCGAGGAGCCTGACGAACTCGCCGTATACTGCGTCCAACCCCTGCTGCACTGGCGAGCCTGCTGCTGCGCTAGCACCTGCGTGAAGCCGATCTTTTCGCGGAAGCTGGCCTTCGGGGTGAGGCCGACCTTCCCGTGGAAGCTGGCCTTCCCGTGGCGACTTCTGCTGTCCCGCCAGCGATTCGCCAAGGCAGGGTCCCGCTCGTGGGTCCAGGGGCTCTTGCGAACCCAAACCCTGCGAGGGTTTCGTCTGCCGAGGCGTCTCCTCCTTCTCAGGGGCAGTGAGTGCGCCGCTCGTCGCAGAAGCTGGAGCACCCGAGCCTGAAGCAGTCGCCGATGTGCCAGAGCCCTCTTCGAGGGCCCTTCCGACCCGAGGGGTGGCCGCCTCCTTCGCTCTGCGTTCCATGTCAGAGGAGAAGCACTGGCCAGAACGAAACGACGGAACAGCAACTCCGAGCTCGGGCCACTCGAGGTCGATGATGTTGGCGCCCCAGAAGCTGTCCAAGTCGGCCATGCCCGGCGCAGGGCGCGGGACGCAGCGGACAGCCCTGGCGGCGGCCCCAGCGGCGTTCGCACCGCTGCCAGCGGTCTCAGGAGCGCGCCCGGCGGCCAGCCCGGCGGGCGCGGCGCCGAGCTCGGCGGCTCCAACGGCCCCCTCGGCGGCCCCCTCGCAGACCGTGTTTTTCTCCGGCGCAAAACACGGTGTCCAGGGCCGCTCCCGGCTCCCGCCGGGGGCCCGCCCGGGCGCTGCCTGGGCGCCCGCCGCAGCCGCGTCGGCGGCCCCAGCGGCGTTCGCACCGCTGCCAGCGGTCTCAGGAGCGCGCCCGGCGGCCAGCCCGGCGGGCGCGGCGCCGAGCTCGGGGCGAGCCACCCCTCCTCCTCCTCTCTCCTCCTTCCTCCTTCTCCTCCTCCTCCTCCTCCTCCTCCTCCTCCTCCTCCTCCTCCTTCCCTCCTCCCCTCCTCCTCCTCCTCCTCTTCTCCTCCTCCTCCTCCTCCTCTTCCTCCTCCTCCTCCTCCTCCTCCTCCTCCTCCGCCTCCTCTCCTCCTCCCCTCCTCCTCCTCCTCCTCCTCCCTCCTCCTCCTCTCTCCTCCTCCTCCTCCTCCTCTCCTCCTCCTCCTCCTACCTCTCCTCCTCCTCCTCTCCTCCTCTCCTCCTCCTCCTCCTCCTCCTCCTCCTCCTCCTCCTCCCTCCTCCTCCTCCTCCTCCTCCTCCTCCTCCTCCTCCTCCTCCTCCTCCTCCTCCTCCTCCTCCTCCTCCTCCTCCTCCTCCTCCTCCTCCTCCTCCCGCCGCCTCCTTCTCCCCACCCCTCCTTCTCCTCATCGTGCCCGTCCGCCGCCTGCCTCCTCCTCTCGCCCCCAGCTCTTCCTCCTCTTCCTCCTCCCCCTCTGTCGCTCGGAAGTCGTCGCACGCTTCGAGGGGGGTGGACGAGGCTCGAACGTCGAGGCTCGGCCTTTCGGGTTTCGACCCTTCAGGAGGGCGCCAGGAGGCTGGAAGCGTCAAACACCTGAGGAACCCATTCCCGCAAGACCCCTTTGCCTCCTGGCGAGAGTTGCGGAACCACCGCGGCCCACCACGACGACGACGACGGCGACGAAGACGACGACGTGGGCACTCTTTTACCGTCTGGTCTGGAGGCTCGGATCGGTCTCAACTTTTCGTTGATTCTTCGCGGGTTATTATCTACTTTCTGTATTGGAAAAGCGGGAGCTCCAAAAAGCAGTTCAAGCCTACGGAAACCAATGGATGTTGCGTCTTGGGTCACTCTTGGGAGCCGTCTGGGGAACGGTCTGGGCATGATGTTCTGGCGACTCGTGGGCGACTCGGCGCCCTGTAGGGCTGTCCTGGCGGTGCCTTGGGGCGGCTTTGGGGCCTCTTGGGTGCTCTGGGCGCCCCTGGGTGGAGCCCCTGAAACCGTCTTGAAGCGGGTGGTGGTCTGGGACCGGGTTGGAGCGTCGGCACGCCGAAAAGGCGGACACCACAACAAAATGTTAAGCACTCCGACGGTAGGACTCCGCACGAGAATCTGTTTAGCTTGCCTGGGGATCTCCTACTGCCCCCTCGCTTCTCCCACCTACTCCTGCCTCGTCCTTTTCCTCCTGCCTTCTCCTCCTTCTCCTGCCTCAGCCCCTGCCTCCTCCTCTCGCCTCCTCCACCACCACCACCACCTCCTCCTCCTCCTCCTTTTCCTCGTCCTCGTTATGCCTCCTACCCCCGTTCCCCATTCTCCTCCTGCCTCCTGCGTCCTCCTCCTCCTGCTGTTTTCCTTCTCCCTCCTCCTCCTCCTCCTCCTCCTCCTCCTCCTCCTCCTCCTCCGCCTCCCCTCTCCATCTTCCTCTTCTCCTTCTCCCTCCTCCGCCTCCTCCTCCTCGTCTCCATCTTCCCCCCCCCCCCTCCTCCTCTGCCTCCCCCTTCTCTTGCCTCCTCCTTAGGCTCCCTGCCTCCTCCTGGGGACTCTTAGGGCCTCTTGGGGCCTCCTGAAGCCTTCTGGGCCTCCCTGGACATCCTGGGGCCTCCTAGGGCACTCCTCTTCCTCCATGTCCTCCTCGTCCTTCTCGCCCTCTGCTTCCTCCTTCTCCTTCTTCTCCTCCTCCTGCTTCTCTTTCTCGTTCTGCATCCTCCTTCCTCCTCCTTCTTCCTCCTCGTGCGGAACACGACCCAGAGGAAACGCACGACGTGCGTCCTGGCGGATACGCGCCGGAGGACGACCCAAAGGAAGCGCGCGCCGGAGGACGACCCAGAGGAATCACGACAGGTGCGGGCCCCATAGGGATGGGGGCTCCCGCCTGAGCCTTCCTCACAGTTCACTCACAGTCGGGGCTCCCGCCTGATACTTCCCCCATATTCAGGCCTCAGGAGCCCCAAAAAGACGACAGTTACAGGTTCGAGGATGACCCGCTCGGATTGCCAATGTGAAGTGCGGGCGGGCCCCATAGGGACGGGGGCTCCCGCCTGAGACTTCCTCGCATTTCACTCACAGACGAGGCTCCCACCTTATGCTTCCCCCAGATTCAAGCCTCAGCGAGACAATTGCAGGTTCGATGATGACCCGCTCGGATTACCAACATGAAGTGCGGGTCCCATAGGGAGAGGGCTCCCGCCTGAGACTCAGTTCACTCACAGACGAGGCTTCCGCCTGATACTTCCCCCAGATTCAGGCCTCAGGAGCCCAAAAGTGACGACACTTTCAGGTTCGAGGATGGCCCGCTCGGATTACCAACATGAAGTGCGGGCCCCAAAGGGAGGGGGCTCCCGCCTGAGACTTCCTCACAGTTCACTCACAGACGAGGCTCCCGCCAGATACTCCCCCAGATTCAGGCCTCAGGAGCCCAAAAGTGACGACAATTACAGGTTCGAGGATGACCCGCTCGGATTGCCAATGTGAAATGCGGGCCCCATAGGGAGGGGGCTCCTCTCACAGTTCACTCACAGACGAGGCTTCCGCCTGATACTTCCCCCAGATTCAGGCCTCAGGAGCCCAAAAGTGACGACACTTTCAGGTTCGAGGATGGCCCGCTCGGATTACCGACATGAAATGCGGGCCCCATAGGGAGGGGGCTCCCGCCTGAGATTTCCTCACAGTTCACTTACAAACGAAGCTCCCGCCTGATACTTCCCCCATATCATATTCAGGCCTCAGGAGCCCAAAAGTGACGACAATTACATGATCTGGATGGCCCGCTCGGATTCATAACCTGATCTGCGGGCCCATAAGGGGGGGGGGAGCTCCCGCCTGAGACTTCCTCGCATTTCACTCACAGACGAGGTTCCCGCCTGATACTTCCCCCAGATTCAAGCCTCAGGAGCCCAAAACAAACGACTGTTACAGGATCTGGATGACCCGCTCGGATTAATGACATGATCTGCGGGCCCCATAGGGAGGGTACTCCCGCCTGAGACTTCCTCGCAATTCACTCACAGACGAGTCTCCCGCCTGACACTTCCCCCAGATTCAGGCCTCAGGAGCCCAAAAGTGACGACACTTTCAGGTTCGAGGATGACACGCTCGGATTACCAACATGAAGTGCGGGCCCCAAAGGGAGGGGGCTCCCGCTTGAGACTTCCTCACAGTTCACTCACAGACGAGGCTCCCGCCAGATACTCCCCCAGATTCAGGCCTCAGGAGCCCAAAAGTGACGACAATTACAGGTTCGAGGATGACCCGCTCGGATTGCCAATGTGAAATGCGGGCCCCATAGGGAGAGGGCTCTTCTCACAGTTCACTCACAGACGAGGCTTCCGCCTGATACTTCCCCCAGATTCAGGCCTCAGGAGCCCAACAGTGACGACACTTTCAGGTTCGAGGATGGCCCGCTCGGATTACCAACATGAAATGCGGGCCCCATAGGGAGGGGGCTCCCGCCTGAGATTTCCTCACAGTTCACTTACAAACGAGGCTCCCGCCTGATACTTCCCCCATATCATATTCAGGCCTCAGGAGCCCAAAAGTGACGACAATTACATGATCTGGATGGCCCGCTCGGATTCATAACCTGATCTGCGGGCCCATAAGGGGGGGGGGAGCTCCCGCCTGAGACTTCCTCGCATTTCACTCACAGACGAGGTTCCCGCCTGATACTTCCCCCAGATTCAAGCCTCAGGAGCCCAAAACAAACGACTGTTACAGGATCTGGATGACCCGCTCGGATTAATGACATGATCTGCGGGCCCCATAGGGAGGGTACTCCCGCCTGAGGCTTCCTCGCAATTCACTCACAGACGAGTCTCCCGCCTGATATTTCCCCGCAATTCATTCACAGACGAGGCTCCCGCGTGAGTGAGTGAGTGAGTGAGTGAGTGAGTGAGTGAGTGAGTGAATGATGATTATGATGATGATGATGACGATGATGATGATGAAGATGATGAGGAGGAGGAGGAGGAGGAAGAAGAGGAGGAGGAGTGTGATGATAAGTGAATGAGAATGTGGATGAGGAGGTGCTGGGTGATGAGGAGGAGGGGGAGGGGGTGAGGGGTGAGACCTCCTGCGCGGGGTGTCCAGAGAAAATAATAACCCCACTTTGTATGTGGGGAAGAACGCGAGGACAACGAACGATGCGTGCCTCTAGGGGGCCCCCTCGGGGACCGTCTGGGAACCCTGTTGAAGCGTCTGGGGGCGTTTTGCACCGTCTGGGAGCCTTCGTGAAGCGCCTCGAGAGCGTGGTGAGCCATCTGGAGACGACCGAGGGCGTCTGGGAGTGATTTTCCAGCGACTCGGGGGCGACTCGGTGCCTTGTTGGGCTATCTTGGAGGTCTTGGGGCGGCTGGGCGCCCCTGGGGGGAGCCTCTGAAACTGTCTTGAAGCTGGTGATGGTGCTCCTGGGGCTGGGTTGGAGCGTCGGCAAATCGCAAAGGCGGACCCCCCCAAACATAAGAAAGCCTGAGGTCAACTTCTGATGTTTGCATTTCTGGGGCATCTTGGAGGCCGTCTGGGAAGCCCTCTTGGAGCCTTTGAGTTGAGTTTGTGGGTCGTCTGGGAACCTTCGTGTAGCGCCTAGAGATGTATACATACGTATGTATATATATGTATATATATATATATACACACGGATGTTATATATCTACATGTTTCTGTATATGTATGCGTAGTGCCAAACGGCAGGTGTAGGCTATCTTTGGGGCCTGGGGCCCCCTTTTTGGGGCCTGGGGCCACCCGGAAACAAACACGGGCGTTCGGGAGTGATTTTCCGGCGCCGCCGGAAACGCCCCGAGGGCCCCGAGTCGCCTCTGGGGCACCTCTGGTACGAGGCCGATGTGGCATCACAACAGCAATTCGGCCCCTGACTTTCGTCCTGAAATTAGTGAAGTGATGGTTTTCGGGCCTCGGATCTGGCCCCCCTGTGCCCGCCATGCGCTGTCGAGCCCCAGGCCCCGGGCCCCCAAGTCTTGTAGACGGGACGATACACAGACATACACACATGTATGTTTCTGCATGGCTACATTTTAAGCTACACGGTGGAAGCTATGCCGTCACCACCTTGGTGCAATCTATGTTGTGCAAGCGTAATGCAAATCTTCTGTCGCAGTGTACGCAATGTCAGCTCATGCCGTGCAGGCCATTTGATGTGAGCCTTACGGTGCAGCCTACGTCGTGCAACCTGTGCGGTGTAAGCTGTGTGGTGCAAGCTGTGTGATTGCAGCTCGGGGGTTTGGTGCAAGCTATGAAAAGGCAAGCTACGTGGTTCAAGCCATGTGGTGCAGCATCTGTGGTGCAAGCTGCGTAGCGCAGGAGGCGCCCGCGAGGCGCCCACGAGGCGCCCATGGGCGGGAGCCTGGCGAACAGCCCGAGCAGCTCCTGGTTGCCAAGGGGGCCCGCCCGAGTTTGCCTGGGAGTTCGAGCAGAACCTCTGAGTGCAAGCGCCGACTGGGGAGAGAGCGAGAGGCGGGAGGCGAGGAGAGAGAGAGAAGGCCGTCCACGGCAAGTCGTGGCAGTCTAAGCGGTCGCAACCAGAGGCCGCGCACTGCAAGCAAGAGCGGCCAGCAACCCCCGACTCGGGCACTTGGGGATGATGATGATGATGCGGATGATGATGATGATGATGATGATTATGATGATGAAAATGATGATGGTGATGGTGATGATGATGATGCTGATGATGGTAACGATGATGATGATGCTGCTGATGATGATCCACTCGCCCTTCAGTGTCCACGTCTTGTCAAAAAGGGCCCGGACCACCTTCCCCTTCTCGGCGATGGCCCGCGCTCTCGCAGAGAGCAACTTAGCGAGGGTTTCATTTCCCCATCCCTTGTGGTCTCGCAGGGACGAACAGAAGGGATTTCGGAGCCGCGGCCTCCAGAGGCGGCCGAAAGCAAAGCAACAGTCTATCTTCGAGCGACCACGCGCAATAATCTTCGGGAAGACCAGGGTGGAGACACGAATGCTGAGCAAGCAACAGCGAGCACGACAGACAATGCAAGACGCTGTCGCCTCCCATCGCGCGGCACCCGAATCTACGCACCTGACGGCCCTGGTGGTACCTGGCAGTGGTGCTCAGAACTCCTGATCTACATCGGCCCTACACTTCCTGATTCTAGGCATGAACGCAACAGACACGGAGGGGCACTTCTGGGAGTCTAAGAACTTCAGCCTCTTGCTAATATTATTATGGAAGACTTCGTCGGGTCTGACGGGATCGACGGTCTATCCTGGGACTTCTCATGCACGGAGCACAGGGAGAAGGTGATGGACTCCTGCACCCAATCGAGCTTGCGGGGACGACCAGACGATCAACTTCAGAATCTCGAAGCTCGTGCCAGCGGTGATAGATTCCAAGGGAGGCCACGGACTTTAGACTGACTCGGTACATCGCGGCCTGGCTTTCGAAGCACATAGAGCGGAACTGCACGGGGAGGCCGATCTGGTCGGTGTTGGCGAGCACGTGCGCGGGGATTGCCCAGCGCGGACCTGCCGCGGGAAACTCATGAGCTTCGCGCTCTCCACGGAGCACCGCAGGAGGTGCAGGGATAATCTGGACAGGAAAGCTGATCAGGGGGAAGTCAAACGCTTTGCATGCATATCTGTTGCGCGTGAATCCCAGGGCCAGCCCACGAATAGAATGCAGCCGTTTGTGTCAGTTTGCCCTGGGGCCCAATCCAACTCGTCCACGGACCACCAAGATCAATGAACATCCCGAGATACCGAGCGCTGGTTCCAATCTTGCACGGGGAGATGTCAAAGTCTACCTGGAGGAAGAAAGACTCGACGGCGGCCCGATCCAGGCCAACGGGCAGAATGATGACGCGTTTCTTCGGGTTGAGATGGGGCCCTGTCGCAGCTGCCATTCAGACCATGAGGTCCACAAACACGGGAATAGGGCGCAACAAGTCCTTCGAGGCAGCGCCCATGCCGCCAGCGAGTGCAAGAGACCTACCGGAATGTGGTCCGATAGGGGATCCAGACACAACGCGAAAAGAACCCCTCTCATCGGACAACCCTGCTCAACACCCCGCTGAATCGAGTACCCGGGGAAGACATGCCCGCAGATAAACACCTCGGCGACCGCATTCCTGTAGAGCTCGGCGATAGCAAACAACAAGTACCGCGGCGCTCTAAGGCACACCGGGCAATATATGTCCTGTGGTGGTTCAGTGGTGGTTCAACAACCGGAGCGCAGCAGCAAAGTCGAGCTGGAAGAGCCCCGCTCGCCAGCGATTGTGAAAAGAGCAGAAGTCGAGGAGCTGAGATTCAAATGAAAGGATGCGGTCGAGCAGATTGCGCTTCTTCACGACGCCCTCTTGCGATCCCGAAGCCGAAAACTGAGCTTGAATCCACGGGGGCTCGGCAAGAGTAGCGGCAATCAACGTGGTCATGCTCGGCAGGGAAGGCAGCGGCAGAAGGTTCGGACCCAAAGCCGAAACACAACACCACCACCACCACAGACCACCACCACCACCGCCACCACCACCACAACCACCACCACAACCCACCACCACCACCACAAGCATCACCATCACCACAAACCACCTCGCCACCACCACCACCAGGCCACCGCCAAAAACGCAACCCACCACAACCCACCACAACCATCACCACCACCACAAACCACCACACCATGACCACCACAATCACCACCACCGCCACCACCATCACCACAACCCATAACCAACACCGCCACCACAAACCACCACGCCACCACCACCACAACCACCCACCACCCACCACCACCCACCACCGACCACCCACCACCACCAGCAGCACCACTACCAGCAACACCACTACCACCACCAACACCACAGCCTACCACCACCACCGCCACAAACCACCACGCCACCACCACCACCACCGCAAACCACCACCACGACCACCACCATCACCACCACCAACCACCACCACCACCACCACCACCACCACCACTACCAAACCACCGCACAACCACCACCACCACAGCCACCACCACCACCGCCACCACAGCAGCTAACCACCACCACCACCACCATCACCACTACAACAACCCACCACCACCACAATCTACCACACCACCAAAACCACCGCCACAACCACCACCACTACTACCAGCAGCACAACCCACCACCACCACCACCACGACCACCACAAACCACCACCACCACCACCGCCACTACCACCACCACCAGCACCCCCGCCGCCGCCTCCAGCCGCCGCCGACGCCAGCGCCAGCCCGAGGAGAGGGAGAAAGGCAAAGTAGGGGATGGGGGCGGGGGGGGGTTCCCCCCCCCCCCCCTCCAAGCGGTCAGAGAACGCGCTCTATCTAACCTCGATTGGCGAATCCCGACCAACACGAACCTGATGAATCGTCCCAAATCGCGTGTCTTGCCCCGACGGGGGTGACAGCCTCAACTAGTTATAGCAGCTAGACGCACCTACATCCGAACCGAACTTGGTCACACTAGCCGTCTGCATGTTCCGAACCCGCGCCAGGCAACGGTCACGATGAGTGGTAGGCACGAGCTTCTGCATCTCCTCAAACTGGGCATCCAATTTAGTCTTGAGCAGCTGCCTCGGGAAACCACGAATCCAGATCTTCGTCCGATCGGGGACATCAACTTCGTCGACAAGGTTGATGACTCTGCTGCCGCGAAGACGCTTCCGACCACCTCCACTGTCACTGGAATGAACCGAAGCTGTAACAGAGGCAGCCGCGGAAGCAACAGCCTGAGCTTCGGCCAATTCAGCTAGGCGTTTCTCGATACCACCAATCTTCTCGGTAACACCACCAGAACTGCGGCCTGGTCCCATTTTGTCCTCGTATGGGCCGTCTTCGCACCACTGGGGCTTGGCTTGCTTGAGCACGCGGATCTGGTCCTCCAGAACCTGGAAGCGCTCGTCAGTCGCCAGCTTCGCCGCGTTCATCTTGAGAGAGAGAGAGGGAGAGAGTTGGAGGCGACCTGAGCTTCCGCCACCGCAGAGGACAACTTGTCGATGGCAGCGGTGGTGCTCTTCGTCTGCTGCGACGTGGCCTCCATCTGGTCCTTCGGAACCCGCTCGATGCTCTCGAGCGAAGGCGCCATCACGGAAGAGGCAGGGAGCTGCTGTCGTGCCAAGATAAGAAGGGCCTGCCGCGACCAGGGCTGGCCTCCGAAAGGGGTCGTGGCTGAGAAGCGGCTCTGCGCCAGGCAGTCTGAGCCCTCCCCTCGGCTGCGACCAAGCTCAAGCGGCCAGGGACGCCGTTTGAACTTGAGCCAGAATTTCTACGGATGATGATGATGCTGATGACGACGACGATGCTGGTGGTGCTGATAATGACGATGAGGATGACGATGTTTACGATGATGCTGATGATGATGGTGGTGAGGGTGATGATGCTGATGATGACGATGACGATGTTGATGACGACGATGATGAACGATGATGATGCTGCTGCTGATGATGGTGATGATGATGCGGATGCGGATGATGATGCTGATAATGATGATGCTGCTGATGATGGTGATGGTGATGGTGATGATGATGATGATGATGATGATGATGATGATGATGATGGTGATGCTGATGATGATGGTTCTGCTGACGATGATGCTGCTGCTGATGATGATGATGTTGAGAGGATGAGGAGGAGGACGAGGAGGAGGAGGAGGACGAGGAGGAGGAAAAGGAGGGGGAGGGGGAAGGGGAGGAGGAGGAGGAGGAGGAGGAGGAGGAGGAGGAGGAGGAGGAGAAGCGAAGGGGGGCACAAAAGAAAACCCCGTACGCACGCACGCGCCCGCCCTAGCTGGCGGAGCTACACGTTCTACGAACCTGGGGGCCTCTCTCGCTCCCCGTGGCTCCGTCGGGCCATCCCACGGGATGTATGCCTTTGAGCCGCCGGCCCATGTGGGGGCGCCAGGCTGCGAGTCTCTGCCAGACAGCCGCCCCGCCGTCGCAGCTTCTCCCTGGCGTGCTCCTCTTCCGGTCTCCGGCCTTCGGGATCTGTGCTTCTGCGGCCCTGCCACCTTTTCCCCTGCCTCCCCGAGGGAGGGGGCGAGGGAGGGGGGGCGGGGGCGCGGAGGCTTCCCAGAGCACCCAGGGGGGGCGCGGTGTCCGTCAACCTCCTGGCCGCGCTCGGGTGTCAGGGGGATCCCACCGGCACGCCAACAGCGGGTCAAGAGGGCCAGGGCACCAAGAAAATCCAACGAGGACCACAAGAGCTCAAGAAGGCCCAAGACGGCCTCGAGGCAACTCCAAGGCGTCCAATTTCTTTCCGACTCACCATGAGGGCTTCAATGCGCTCCAAGGCGGCAACAACAATTGAAACGCGCATGCTTTGTTTCTTCCTGTGCTTCCGTTTAGTCGCCTGTGGGCAAGTACCTCGTTGTTGCGTAACCCAAGGGTGGTCCCCAGAGGCTCCAAAACGCTCCCAACATGCTCCTAGACTTCCACTTTTCAAGCGCAACCAAGGTGAGCGTTTTCTTGTTCGGCATTTCGACATTCTGGCCATCGCTCGGACGTCCATTCCCTGTGTTTGTTTCGGTTTCGTGCGTGGTTTTTCGCCAAATGATCAAGGATGCTCCTCGATGGTCCTCGCCGAGGAAAAAACGCACACGTCCGAGCGATGCCAAGCATTGGGCGTAAAGGGGAGGGAGGGGGGGGCTGTGGCTCCGGACCTCTCCTCAAAGCGACTATTTGCAGCAGTGCGTCCTGTGGGGGAGACTCCACCTGCTTTTAAGCAGGCGACCCAAACAGCCAAGATCTACTCCATGGGTGGGGGAGGGGGGGGAGGACCCGCGCCGATCGGCAAAACAATGAACAAAACAAAAGAGCACAAGCAAGCACCCACTGCCCGATGTGATCCAGACAGTCCCGCGGGGACGGACTCGTTCGCCACCGCAGCGAAGCACCGACTGTTGGTCGTCGTGCAGATTCTGTACACAAGCACTGGCCCACGAATCTGCTCGGAGCAATCAAGAAAAATGGCGTGTTGCGCAATGAACCGCATGGGGCGCAGTGCTAGCCGTGAGACGAGCAGGCGGATACTGCGATCGAGAGGGAGTTACGGCCACTGGCAGCACCCACGAGGCTCCCAGACCGCCCAGCAAGGCCCCACGAAGCTCTGAGGCGGTCCAGTGGTGCCCCCAAGCCTGCTCCGCCACGAGGGGCAGGCGGCAGAGGGCCGAGCCGCTTCAGATAAGATCGCCAGCAGACAAACACTCCCCGCACGGCGCCTACACGGCAAAGTAGCTGTCATGAAATATACCCATGCGTGAACAGTGGGGTGAAGTTCGGCCAGGCGTGTTACGCCTCAGTGCTCTGCCTCATCGAGTTGCTCGACCGGCCGCGCAAGAGCTTCAGAATATCATCTAAATTCTGATCATGCCGTGCCTGCATTGCTTTGAATTCCGCCTGCAACTTTTGCAGGTCAAAATTGGTGGCCCCTCCTTTGAGAAGCATGCAACCGTCGACAAACGTACCGATCTCCACCTGCCCGCCCTCGACTTCGGCCAAGTAGTGGAAGAACTCCATGACGTGATGCGTCTGGAGCCCCAGTGCCTTGAGCAACGTGGGTATGTGACGCATCTGCAGGCTCTGCTCAAACTGATCCTGAGTCAGCTTCCCGGTGGCGTCCGCGTCGACGGCGCGGCAGAGGCGCTCGAGCCTCTGGGTGTCCTCCTGCTCCTTGAGAGGAAACAAAAACTGCATAAACATAAACTGTCGACGGTCCGCGCGGATTTCTCGGATCCGCGCTAGAGCCCCCCTCCCTGGCGCGCGGAGCGCGCGAGGGGCGGCGCCGGAGGCACCGCCCTTGGGGCCCAGCTCGGATCCAAGAACTCCGCGGAGCGTCAACAATTTATGTTCGTGGCGCCTTTTTTCCTCGACTCGGCGAGTCGGGAAACATCGAATCGGCGGAAATCGGCGGGCTCGCATGCCTCCGATCACAAACATCGGAACCCACATCGGAAACCCCGAGTCGGATCGAATCGGAACCGGAAGCCATCGGAACCGAGTCGAATCGGAGGCGTCGAGGTGAGCCCTGCGCCTTTCGGGAGCGGCCAAGAGGGGGGTGTCCAAGAGGGGGGGGTGCAAATCATGACCGGCGGCATGTGCGCGGCCCCGCGGGGGGCCAGGGACGTGATGAAACAAGACATGGCGCCATGAAATCTGGGGAGATATCATGGCCCGCGCCATGATATCCACCCCCCCTCTTTTCCGCCCCCGAGCCTTGTGGAAGACCTCTCGCGCCAGCATCTCCGGGTCGGTCTTCACGAACGACATCGCGGACTCCACAAAGATGCCTGGAGCCACGACGATACAAGGGCCCGCCGGCGGCCCGCTCCCGAAGACCGCGCCACCAAGGGGGGCCGCCCACGTCCTCCTCCTCCTCCTCCTCCTCCTCGTCCTCCTCCTCGTCCTCCTCGTCCTCGTCCTCGTCCTCCTCCTCCTCCTCCTTTCCTCGTCCTCCTCCTCCTCCTGCTCCCCTCTTCCTCCTCCTCGTCGTCGTCGTCCTCCTCCTTCTCCTCCTCCTCCCCGAACTCATTCTTTACCCCCGCTTTGCCCAACCTGCCTCAGCCGCCGGACCTTCCGTACCTTCCATCTGTTATTTTCCTCACGCCGGCCTGTTATGATGTTGATGAGCGCGAATCCGCCACCGTGCCTTCAACACGTAGAGGAGTGTCCCAATGCTCTTACGCAGTTGTGCTCCGTAGAAGTGCTGTCATCGTGCTCTGAGATTGTAAGGTTCTAAAGGGCCAGGCCGCCCGTGCTAAAAATCCTCGGCGTTCCTGGAGTATGTCGGCGAGCGCTGCGCGCGCTCCATGGAAGCAAAAACGATTCCAAGAGCGCCCCAAGGCCTCCAAGGCGGTCCAAGAGGGCCCTGAGTCGCCCAGAGATCGCTCCAAGACGCCGAATATGGCCTCCCGACGGCGCAAGAGGCTCCCACGCCGTCCCAAGAGGATTCCGAGAGCCCCCAACAGGGCCCCGAGAGAGATTGTTTTCCTATTCGCTTTTTTGTTGTTGCTTTTGTTGTTTGTTATCACCTTTTCGGGCTTCGAACTCTCCAACACGGCCCCAAACATCGACCCAAGAAGGCCCCGAAAAGGTCCCCCAGACGGCCCAAGAGGGCCCCACGACAGCCTATTGCGGCCCCAAGAGGGGGAACTCGAAGTGACATTTCGCGCCCTCCACCCGAAGATGATCCCCGATACAGCTAGCAGGGCCCCAAGAGGCCCCCCCGACATGCCCCAAGACCCCCTCCAACCGCCTCCAAGAGGCTTCCAGGATGGCTCCCGAGAGTTTCCCACAGGCATCCGAGAGGCCTCTGATCTACAGCCCAGGCATGGTGGTGGGATGAGCCGGAGGCCACAATATTGCACGAACGCGATGAAAAACAAGAACATCGCACTCCCAGTTCTTCCAGTTATGCGGATCACCTCGTACGCCAAGCTCCAGTTGTCGCCACCGGTGGATGCCTTATACAGCGTCAACATTGATTTTTCCACCGACCCGAAGTGGTCGTAGAAGGCGGTGTCCTCTAAGACGCTATCTGTTTCAATGAGGTGAGAAGTGATGACCTGCATCAGGAATAGCGAAAAGAGGGTGTATGTAAAAGCAAGCGTAAACATACTCCAGAAGAGGCTCATGAGGGAGCCTTCCAAGCAAACAAGAAGAACCCTCAGATGCTTCATGTGGGCCACAACTCTGATAGCACCAGTCGCCTTCCCGAATTTGAGCACCCTCAATAATCTCAAGGCGCCTCCCGAGCCAGCCCGGGATCCCAACGAGATGAAACCGCCAACCACCAGCATCAAATCAAATAGATTGATCCTCCAAGATGCGTTGCAGAAAAACCACTGCCGATGTACCAGCAACTTCAGGACCATCTCGGTTGTGTAAAACGCCTGGAAAAACCACTCGCCGATCAATACCCGCGTGGAGGTTTCGTTCGGTCTCGCAATCTCCACGTTCGCAACGTACACCATGAATGCGAAATTGAAGAGGATTGTGACGCAGACGGCCACCTCGAATCCACTGCCGATGACGAGGCTGTTGAGACACCCCGTGCGGGGCGGCTCCTCCACGCTCTGCAGCCAAACCCAAAACTTCTCGCATTTGGCCGCCAGAGCGTGGCGAATCGAAGGTCCGCTGCCCTCCTCCTCACTCTGCGCGGAGCGGGAGCCCATGACGCCGACCAACTCTACCCACCTTCGTGAATTTGTTTCTGGCTGGTTTTAGTTGTAGTAGAGCTGCTAATATTCGCCAACGTAGGCACCGTCATCACCATCAACAGTAACATGACCGCCACCATCATCATCATCATCATCATCATCATCATCATCATCATCATCATCATCATCATCATCAGCATCAACATCAGCATCATCATCATCATCATCATCATCATCATCTTGAGAATCCTCTCCGTCTTCATCATCATCGCCATCGACATCATCAGTCACATAACCACCATCAGCACCAACACCATCATCATTCAAACCATCGTCGACATCATGGTCTCCGACGCTCGTTTTCCAAAGCGTCCCATGTGTGAAGTTTGCGCGGGAAGAGGCTGGCCCAAGGGCAGCCAAAGGCGTCGGGCGCAGCGGCGTTGGTTCTGCCCGGCGGCCCCCACAGAGCCCCAACGACAGAGAGATCTCGACCAGTTCAACAGCTGGCTGCAAGAGTGGTGGTGGGGGGGGCAAGGGCGAGAAAGCTGCATATCAATTCCTTCTACTACTATAGCCGCTGTGTCCACATGATCCCCGACGCTCGTTTTCCAAAGAAACCCATGTATGCAGTTTGCGGGGGGAGGCTGGCCAAAAGGCGGCCAGCGGCGTCGGGGCGCAGCGGCGCCCCCAAAACAAAGAATGCTCGACTTGTTCCAACGTTACTGTCACTACCACATGTCAGTTTTGTCCCCCTCCGGGCGTCTTGATGACACAGCCCCTCAACGCTCCATACGACCTGCACTGAATTGAGCAAGCTGTCGGACATGCTGTCGGCTGTCAGACGACACGTGGGCGGACGGCACGGTGGCCGCGCCAATCTGGAGATAGTGACGCATGGATTTGACATTGGTATTCTAGCAGTCCCAGGTTCTGGAACGACCGGAAGTGATGCATGGCCCCGCCTCCCCGCAGCGACCCGAGGGTGTAGGGCGAATCGCTGATGCCGGCGAGGCCCTTTAGGTGGCTGAACCACTGGGTTAGCCCGCGCAGCTTTCATGAGCGCGGCGATGCCGTCGGCAAAAGGGGACCCACCCAAACCGCGCCTGATCAAGTTTAGCAGCGTAGGATCGTCGATCAGGACGCTGTGGAACTTTGGCCTTCGGCCCGATGTCTTGGCAGAAAGCAGCACGAGCACCCCTGCATTGATGTCGCCTCCCAGGTCCCCAGCCAAGACGAGGTGCTGCCTAAGGGCAATCGCGAACTCGGAGGAGCAGGCACGCTGATGTCCCGCCGCATCCTTGCGCCTGAGCAGCGACGGCCAGGGCCAGGACCACCACGACAGGCATGGGCGTGCGCACTTCGACCAGCTCGAAATTTCGCCAGCGAACCAATGAGGCCCAAGCTGGGCGCAGTTGGCCACGGGTCTGGGGCCAGCGAAACTGGACGCCAACGAAAGGCTCGGATCCCCTAGAATACTGCGCTTTTGCGTCGTAGAGGTCGTGTGGGCGACGAGGGCGGCGTTGAGCAGCTCGATGTCACGCACGACGCCGTCGAGGCGGGGCGTCCTTCGACTCTAGAGCCACGGGCTCCACTTCTCGAGCATGATGATGTACCGACGGGCAGTGGCCGGCTTGATTGTTACTCGGAAGTTCCGCCCGGCCAGCGAAGTCGCGCGCCGCGAGACGGCGCCAAGTGGGGCGGGTGGGCCTTCTCCTAGAAATCCAAGCCAGCTGCAGAAGATCTCCAGGAGCATCAGCAGCGCGGCGAACGGCAGCACATGTCGAGCTGCACGGGCACCGCGCCGCACCACTGGCTGGAGTAGTCTGCCGCCACCTCCGCCATATGCCACCAGACGCCGTCCTCGCATTCGATTCAGTTCTCCAGGGCGAAGTGCTGGTGGCCGCGGACGCATCGCCTTGCCAGCGGGGGTAGGAACGCCCTGCGCCCCTTCGAGGTCGCAATCCTGCGCCAACGCCTGCCCCACAAGCACCAGTCCATGACGCGCTCGTAGAACGGCCACGCGCGGGGGGCCTCCTGGAGCTCTGGAAGTGCGCGCTGAAGAGACCGCTTAGGCTGCTCACGCGCTCACAGGCGACTGCGCGCTCAAGAGCCTTTCCTAGATTCACCCCAGGGTTCCACGCACTTGTTGCCCAGGATCTCCTTGGGATAATGCCGCGGCCTCCACGGCCGCTGACGAGCCCGAGAGAACCGCGAGCACAAGTTCATGAATCGCGAGAAAGTCCCTAGCTGTAAGCAGGTAGGTAGGTAGTCAGGTAGATCGGTAGATGAAGTGGTAGTGATAGAAGTAGTCGTAATAGTAGTAATAATAGAAGTAGTCGTAGTAGTAGTAGTAGTAGTAGTAGTAGCAGTAGCAGTAGCAGTAGTAGTAGTAGTAGTAGTAGTAGTAGTAGCAGTAGCAGTAGCAGTAGCAGTAACAGTAGCAGTAGCAATATCAGTCGCAGTGGTAGTAGTAGTAATAGTAGTAGTAGTAGTAGTAGTAGTAGTAGTAGTACTAAAAACAATAGTACTAGTACTAGTAGTGGTAGTAGTGGTAGTAGTAGTAGTAGTAGTAGTAGTAGTAATAGTAGTAGTAGTAGTACGAATACGAATAGTAGTAGTGGTAGTAGTAGTCGTAGTAGTAGTCGCAGTAGTGGTACTTGAAGTAGTAGTAGTAGTAGTAGTAGTAGTAGTAGTAGTAGTAATCGTATAGTAGTAATCGTAGTGGTATTCGTCGTAGTGGTAATGGTAGTAGTAGTAGTAGTAGTAGTAGTAGTAGTAGTAGTAGTAGTAGTAGTAGAAGTAGTAGTCGTAGTAGTAGTAGTAGTAGTAGTAACAGTCATACGAGTAGTCGTAGAAATAGTAATAGTAAACGCAGAAGAAGTGGTAGGAATAGAAGTCGTATGCGTCGTAGTAATCGCAGTATCAGTAGTAGTATTAGTAATAGTGGTGGTAAGAGAGGGGTATTTGTAGTAGTCGTAGTAGTAGTAGTCGTAGTAGTTGTAGTCGTAGCAATAACAGAAAGAGTGGTAGGTTTAGAAATAATATGCGTCGTAGTAGCCGTAGTAGCAGTAGTAATAGGAAAAAGGGGTAGTAGTAGTAGGAGTGGTAGTAGTAGTCGTAGTAGTAGGAGTAGTAGTAGTAGTAGTAGTAGTAGTAAATTGTAATAGTAGTAGTAGTAGTCGTAGTAGTAGTAATAGTAGTAGTAGTAGTAGTAGTAGTAGTAGTAACAGTAGTAGTAGTAGTAGTAGTAGTAGTAGTAGGTAGTAGTAGTAGTAGTAGTAGTAGTAGTAGTAGTACTAGTAGTACTAGTAGTAGTAGTAGTAGTAGTAGTAGTAGTAGTAGTAGTGTAGTGTAGTAGTAGTAGTAATAGTAGTAGTAATAGAAGTAGTAGTAGTAATGGTAGTAGTAGTAGTGGTAGTAGTAGTAGTAGTAGTAGTGGTAGTAGTGGTAATAGGAGTACTGGTTTCTTGTAGTAGGAGTAGCAGTAGTAATACTAATAAGCGTCGTCGCAGTCGTAGTCGTAGCCATAGTACTAGTAGTAGCAGTCATAGTGGTAGTAGTAGTAGTAGTAGTAGTAGTAGTAGTAGTAGTGGTCATAGTAGTAGTAGTAGTAGTAGTAGTAGTAGTAGTAGTAGTAGTCGTCGGTGTAGTAGTAGTAGTAGTTGTAGTAGTAGTAGTAGTAGTAGTAGTAGTGGTGTTGGTAATGGTAGGAGTAGTAGTAGTAATAATGATAACCGTCGTCGCACCCGTAGTCGTAGCCATAGTACTAATAGTAATATCACTAGCAGTAGTAGTAGTAGTAGTAGTAGTAGTAGTAGTAGTAGTACTAGTGGTGGTAGTAGTAGTAGTAGTAATGGTAATAGTAGTAGTGGTAGTAGTAGTAGTAGTAGTAGTAGTAGTGGTGGTAGTAGTAGTAGTAGGATGAGTAGTGGTAGTAATAGTGAAAGTAAATGTAATAGTAATTGTAGTAGCCGTCGTAGTACGAGCAGTAGGAGTAGTAGTAGTCGTAGTCAAAGTAGTAGTAGGAGTAGTAATAGTACTAGTAGCAGTAGTCGTAGTTGTAGCAGTAGCAGTAGTAGTAGTAGTAGTAGTAGTAGTAGTAGTAGTAGTAGTAGTAGTAGTAGTAGTAGTAGTAGTAGTAGTAGTAGTAGTAGTAAAGCAAAACGTGGCCTATGGCACCGACCGGATTCGGAGGACCTCCCCAGGATTCCATTGCATTCCTATTGGACTCGGCAGGATTCATTGGCAGTCCTCTGGATTCTTTTGGGGTTTCCAAGATTCCACGAGATCTCAGTGGATTCCTTCGGCTTCGTACATATTCCCCAACACTTCTCAGGGTGCGTCGTGGTTTCTTGGGGCCTGCGTCGGTTCCTCAGGATCTCCAAGGGGTCCTGCGTCTCTTGGAGCCATCTTGGACGCTCCAGCCCCTCGCGGAACGGCCCCCTCCAGACTTGGGGAGGGGTAGGGGGAGAGGGGGGGTCCCCTCTCCGAAGGGGGAAATGATGGTTTGGCAGA